GACAAAATTAGCTCACAAGAACTTGAAGGCTGCTACTCAATATTGAATTTTCTCCAACAAGGAACAGAGTACAAACAAGAGACTTCCCTGTCAGTGTTAAAAAAATCCCATGAACTAAAATAAATCAGCAATTCATATGTACTGAAATTACCTTAGTTTTTCCTTACTGTCTCCCTTTCCTATTGCACATGCCATCTGTTTTAAAGCAAACTGTCTCATACTTCCACAAGATATTCCAATCCTGCTTTAAGAGTAGAAAGAATCTTCTCAAGAGCTCCTTAAAGTCTGAAACTGTTGTGTGCCTCCTGCCTGCTTAGCAGATTTGAGACTAATTCCAGAAGTAGGAGAACACTTCTATGGCAATTTTGCAGAGATCAGATCCCAGATCTTAAGCTTAAGGATTTTGGCAGCATCCAGAAAGAGTTGTGACCTGGTCTCTTGCAGAACAGTCACACTCCCTTTGCCTCTTTATGGGGGTGTAGGATGCCTGCTAGTGCCAGCTGCTCCCAACCTTCCAAGCATGCTGATCACACCCTCGTGTCACCTCCTAAAGTCTTCATCCTACAGTCTAGGAACCTCTCCGAAGCTGTATCTTCACAAGCTGTCCAAATCAGCTTCCAGAGGATCATGGCAGCCATAACAAATAAAGGTTGCCTTACAAGAAGTGTGCTACACTTAAAAGGAAAATAAATCCACGTTATTTGGACATACATCTACAAGAATAACAACTAGCTGCAGGCAAAATGTCTTCCCTGTACTCCATTTCCTCATGTCTCCACTCCACTCACTCTTTGCCTCACTGCTTCTGCTTTATCTTCCTGGCAGCAAATGACTGTTCCTACAGCTTCTCAAGAGAGGTATCTGAAACTAAACTAGACCTAGCATTGTCTTTCAGATGACCTCTGGGGCAACTTCAAAGTGCCATGAGGCACCTTGTTGTTAAACAAGTCATAACACTCTCAAATTAACTGGAGAAAAATTGATTTCTTGCATGACAAAGATCTCTGGGTGTAAACTCACCCTCATGGTGAGCCATCACAGTGGACAGCTCTCTTCCTAGAAAGATGCAACCCTTGCAGCCAGCAGAGGAACAAACACAATGCAGTGTCCAAGCTGCATCCCAGATCCCCACTGCCCCACAACCAAGAGCAGAGTACAGCTTGCAGCAAGACCCCTCTTGGCAAGTTTCCATTCCACAGACCTCCTAAATTAAAGACATTTACACTGACGTATTCAGTCCCTCACTTCCATTATTGATCATCATGACTAATCACAGCATTAAGTTTAAAACAAGGAGGGCTTTAAAACACCCAAATGTACCTCATGATTAAGATTTTGCTGGTATTTTCAATTTCAGAACTACTCACATCTCAGCTCTGCTCTTGTCCTAAACATCCCTTAAGACTCTGCTGCCCAGCCAGCTACTCCTTACCTTCCTTATCACAGCTTTACCAGATTTCTTCCCCACCCTTAACAGCATTTTCACAGTGCTTTTGTTTTCCAGCTACGGTTTTCACAAGTGTGGCTCTCAGTTAAACTTTTGCTTAACATTAAAGCTCTTTTCAGATATGTAATATGAAATTAATTTGAATTCAACTGGGGAAGAAACAGGATACACTGGTTTAGCAAAGTATTATTCCAGATAAGCAAGATACTGAATAAAGATTTTTAAAAATAACACCAGAAATTCTCCCATAAACTGAAAAAAAAATAGTAGAAGGATGGGAAATTCTGTACACTGGACAAGTTGAGGTCTGATGGCAAGCAAAGGAAGCCAGGACCTTGATAAAACCTTCCAATGCCACGTATTTGATTTCTTTCTACTACTGTAACACTTCATGAGATAACTTGCAAAAGCAATTTTCCACACATCTATTACTCGAAAGTGAACACTTTGAATAACAAATGGACAACATCAGATATTATTAACATTTCCTGCCAGTACAAACTCCTCAGAAACTGAGAAATCCTAAAGGACAAGCCTACCTAACTAGGGGGACATATCAGGAAATCTAAATTCATCACTTATTTTAAGTACTTATCACAACAACATTCCTGTAAAATATTCCAAAGCACATGATTCCAACACAAGCTCCCACCCAGAAAATACCAGTAATGAGAAAACAAATAGATGAAAGACTACTGTTAATTCAGGGTTTAAACTGGTCATCCCACCTCCTTCAACCTGTATCAAAAACCCTTCTTAAAAGCCCAGGAGTCAAATTCAAATAGTTATTATGTCAGATTGGCTATGTTAGAATATTTATGGTTTAAGCAGTATTAATATCTCAGTTACTACAGGCAGTGAATCTGATTTTTACTGCAGCTTCCACAACAGATTAATGACTTGGATTCAGTTAACACACACAAGCTTAAAACTTCCATTACTTCAAAGCATAAACTTGAGAAGGACATGCAGTCTCTTGGTCTCATCATAGCACTGATATCAGCACCAAGAGGACAGGACTTCCTCAGAGGAAGGCACTGCTGGACAGCACTGGCCTAAGACAACAATCTGTATTGCCCAGCAGCCAAGAGCTTGGATGTTCCCTATGTGAAAAAAGTCAGGTGTGTCCCTGCTCCTGAGGGCTGGAGCTCAGGATGAGATGATGATATGATGGAGAGGGATGCTGAGCTGATGTATCCTGCTCTAAGTGATTCCTGATTGCAGTCCAGGCTGCTCTCCAAGGCTGGGCCCAGTGGGGATGCTCTGTGTCTCAGCCACAGTTTACCTGTGGTTTTGCACCCACAAATCCCTTGATTGTCTATGAACTAATGAACTCTATAGCATCTCATTCACCAAGTACCTTAATATCAAGTAAACTTCTTTGAGAATGATTGGAAAGAAGAGAGGTTGGCATAGACCTGTCACATGGGTTATTTCCCAAATTACCCAAAAAGGGGAGAAGAGGAGGAAAGCTCTCTGTATTTTCTTCTGATTCCCTAAATGGAAAAGTATCTTTCTCGTGTCATCTTGACATGCTCATTTTAAGAATTCATACTCAATTGTCATGTCAGCAACAACTCTGAGCAGAAACTTTGATTAGCTAAAATAGAAACAAAGATCTGGTTGTGGAAATATTCCTTTTTTCACAAAGAGATACTTTCACTCCACCTTCAACAAAGTACAGATTGGCTTGCCACTCTCAAAAGCACTGTACCAATCCACCTGTTCCCACAAAACAACCTCAGAACATCTCTGCATCCTTGTAGTACTGAAGTAACGAGTTGGACACACTCAGCCAAGTCTCCCACAGTGAAGAAGTTTCCTCTCCATCAACACTGCAAGCTGCTATTTTGCAGATCAAAACAGTCAGCTTCCCCAGATAAGGCAGCTCCTTCCTCAAAATGGAAAACAGAGCTGCATTATCTCAGGAAATGGAAGATAAAAGGTCACTCTTCACTAAGTGGCAAAATTCTCACCTTGAAAGCTTTGCCCCTTGATTGACATGGAACAACCAAGGTCATGGAACTTCTAATCAGATGCCTGCATAATTACAAAATCGCTATTAATTATATCAGAGAGCCAAGACCTCAGTGGAAAGGCAAAGCAAACAAAGAAGCCAATGAAGCCTCCTCTGTTGTTGGAGAAAATTGGTAATTAAAAGTCATGAGTGCACCAAAGAGTGAGGGAACAGCATCACAGTCACTGCTCAGTACTTGGGAGTGACTTGCATACAAAGCAGCAGGATTGTCTCCCTAGGGAAATTACAGGGTACTGTGTTAGACAGCAGTGAGGAGAGGAAAAACAGGGAAAAATACAGACAGAGTAACTCCTGTATTATCAAGCTTCATTTACCCCACAGAGAGGGACAGCACTGCCAACCAGGCCCAAGTCTGAGAAGGGCTTTCCACATATTTATGGAAGCTCTAGAAAGCCTTCTCCCAGCTTTAGATCATGAAGTGTTCCCCTGCTTTGAAGAGTACAAATGAAGCAGACCTTGTGTTCAACCTAATCCAGCCTACACACAGCTCTTGCCCAGAAAAAGACTATTCCAATGAAAAACCTTCATTTCCCTCAATAACCGGAGCTCAGCCTTAGAAATTGCTCTTTCTCCAGAGGCTACCCTTCAAAGTATCACTATCAGAAACCACAGAACTTCAATTTACCCTTAAAAAAATGCCTTCCAAAACTCAAAAAAAGACAGAATGTCATGACCCTGCTCACACCATAATAAATTAAATCAGATAGTCATGGGACCTGCTGAAACCAAAGCATGTGCTGTTACTAATTAGACTATGAGAAGATAAATCTGATCTGTTTCCTTCCCAATGATACTACACACCATCTCAGAGCACTGAGATGTCAAAATGGCACTGGATGGAAAAAGGCACCACATTATCTACCATCATTTGCAAGCAAACACAAGAATCTCTCTGATCTGCTATATAGACAGTTTTATAGATCCAGTCCTAAAGAGGATCATATGCAAGAGGTGCCAGGTCTGGACTAAATCCATAAAGAGATGGACTTCGATGGACTATGGTACTGTGGCAAGAAAAAAACCCAGTCTGACTCGGGTCATTTAGCCCCTCACAAAAAGGGAAATATGAAACACCAGAAGCCCAAAGAGAACCGTTAGTACATTGCAGAGATCAGAACAAAGAGACATTTACTACTCCACTGCTTCAAGTACAATGACTCAAAAAGACACATCTTCAAGATGCTCTAAATAACAAAGCCTCCCCTTTAATACATGAGCAAGAAGGAATAAAGGATCAGTGCAGCAGAAGCAGTAATGCAATTTGTGGAAGTCTGCCACTGAATAAAAAATTAATAACCAACAATCTCTGGCTAACTGCAGCCATTTCATTATGCTTAACTTTGACAGACTCGAATCTAATAAACTTGTATTGAAGTGCATCTGGTCCTTTTTCATCTCTTTTCTGAACTTCCATTGCTTCCAACACAATGCCCTTTCACTGCTGCGACCTAATCCCAGAACTCTGTTTTGTAATGCTGAATGCTAAGCACCCAACCCCCCAGGAGAGCACCGTACCTGTTGAAGATATCACCTGACACCTTCTGCAGATACTGAAGTGCATCTGCCACCTGCTGCACAGCCTCCTCCCTGCGCAGGTCTGGCTGGATCAAGGGCACTGAGTATGTCTGCCCTTCCAGAAAGTGCTTCTGGGCCACCGTGGCCATTGTGCCTAAGGGAAAGAACAAACAGGTCATTACAGTAAACACACTGCCATTTCATCACAGTAGTTATTCAGGGACTTCTACTTTCTGCTCCACTAATTATTTTAAGAAAGCATTTGCAACAAAATTGGTGAGCTGAGGAGAAAGGCACAAGTAGGAAGGCTGACATATTGGATTTTCAATACATTCAAGGCAGCTACAGTGAGGTGGGAATCTCTTACTTATCTGAATGCTCTTGGAAATCATAATTTTATTTTAGCATTCTACTTAACAAATCTATGTTCAGTATTGTGCTGGAAACAAAGACCAGAATAAGAAGTAAAGTCAGTCAGAGTGGCAACAAGACTCATCAGAAATCACCCTGTCTCCTCCTGCCTTTCCTCATATTCCACTTGGATATATTTCAGGTCACCCAACCCTATTAGCAAAAGGCAGTATTTCATTTTACACTTCTGCTCCAAGAAACACACCATCAAGCCCTTTCAAGAACAGAAGTCATGAAATTACAAGGCATTCATGGGCACACAACCCCTTGCTCCAAGTAGGTTAATGAGAGTTCTTCCATTCTGAGATTCCCAGGAGCTGTCTGTTGCTTCTGGTGACTGGATATTGCCTTAGTAACTATCTTGAAAGAAGCCTCATTATTTTAGAATCCTTTCTCATCTCAAGCCCAACAAGTCACCAGAATGTTTCAGTTGTGTGCCACCCACCAGAGCTGTATGCACACTTTTGGAAGCAGCTGGGCCAGTACCACTGCTCTATAGCTCAGCGAGGAGAAGCTCACCCATCACCCATGTTTTCATCCTGAGCCTTGCTCACATCTCCCTCAGCAATTCCCAAAAGGTTTGCCTCCCATGTCTTTACTCACAAAAATAACAAAAAAGTTCCTGTGACTTGGAAGAACATAAAGAGAAAAAAAATCCGTTTCTCTGAGCACATTAGAAATTGCAAACTCACAAATACGTTACTGTTAGGACATTCTGAAGAATGAACAGAGTAGAGTATCCATACTGTTTCCTAATCCAATCTCTACTGCTAGGCCTACACAACTCCCTTCATTCTTGTTTTGTCTGTATCTCTTCTCATTCAGGCTGTAAAAACCACATAGTTTACAGGTGTTCATTACAGAGTTTCATCACACAAAGCTCCATACATCTGTATAAAAAAATATTCATTAAGCTGAGGAGAGGAAAAACAAAGCAGGATGAAAAATCAAGGTATCAGAAACAGAGATATCCACATTCCCTCTGTGGTAGTTTAAAGTCAGCAGCAGCCAGTTCAGAGAGCAGTGCTGTGTGCAACCTGCATTCCTGGCTCAAGAGCAGTGCAGGCTGAGAATAACATAAATACAACCCATAAATCAGGAGCCTGAAGAGATAGTCACAGCATAAAAAAACAGTTTAATATGTGAAAACGGGGGTCTTCACACATTCTTTCAATTCCCTACCTTGCTTCACAAACCAAAGAGATAACAGATTAGGCTTGCCTGCAACCATTTCTGTGTATTTAAGAAACACCATCCACCCTCTCCAAATTTTTCCTTTAAGATGATCCCACAGCAGGGTGGGAAAAGCTTTCTGTAAATGTGATGTGGCTGTTATTTAAGGGTATTCTTTTGGGATGTGGGGTTTGCTGAATTGTTCTGGGGTTTTTTTGGTGGGGGTGTTTAGTAATGAATCATATGAGATGTAGGGGCATATAGAAGCATTTCCACAGTTAACAAATTTGCAAGATCAAGCCCAGCCATTAGAAAGCTGGCTCTGTTGCCAGTCTGGGAAGCCTAGACCTATTCTGTTTCATTTCATGCATCACTGGCAGCCAGACTCAGTATCTGCACTCTTTAGCAGCAATGTTTGCACACTGATTAGTCTTCTTGACTGGGCCTACTCTGCAGACAGGAAATTATTATTTATAGCTGTAAAGCATACAAGTTAATCTGAGAGGAGTACAGCTAATTTTGAGACAGCAGATTTTGATCTGCTGACCACAATCAAGCTTCAATATTTTTCCTTTCAAATCTACTATTTGACTGTCACCACAGAATAAAGTGACCAGATAACATAGCAAGAATGTAGTTATGAGTTACTCTGGCTTCAGCAGCAAAAGGAGTTTATAGTCCCCCTGCCACTGGTCAAAACTCTGCCATTGCATCAGTGCTGCTGGTGTTTGGGATGCCTATTTTTAACTCAAATCAGTTCAATGACCCAATTTACCACAGCCAGATAAACAGCTGTAATTGTCCAGTCGTAAAACACAGTGGGAAGCAGGGGCAAGAAGGAAACTTCTGAAGCTTGCTTCATTATCAAAACCATTCCTGTGTAAAGATAATCCTGAGAAAGCCAAGATTTTCACCTATTGAGGAGATTATACAGCCCTAATGTGATCTCTCAGACTCTCACCAATCCTAATTCTCCGGGTGTCCTTGCTAAAACCAAGCTCAGTTCAGCTGCTGACTGACAGATGCCCCCAGTCAGAAGCAGGACTCCTCTAGCTACTCCCAAACCATTTCTTTCCCTGCAGCAAGAAGCTACAGACTCTCCTTCAGATCCCACTGGTCCCTTGCAAAGAGAGGAGCACCCAGCACTGAGCAAGGCAGGAAAATCCCTGGGTGCTCTTGTTCACAGTTTGTCTGTCAGGAAACATCACCTTCACAGGTTCTCAATGAAGACTCCTAAAATGAGCTTCAGATCTCACCTTTCCTAAAAAAACCACAGTGGAGAAATATGGCAAACTCTGGAAACTACTGCCAGAGACAGATACAAGAGACAATTCTTTCTGTGCAAGAGAACAAGTTGGAGATCTATAACAAGGAGGAGGGCAAACAGCAACAACTAAATGACTAGACTTGGGCAAAATCCCATGCTACAGCTGCTATTTGTTACCTCTTAGGACCAAACTAATTGGAGAAATAAGCCAGTTTTACCAACAATTTGAGTAAGGGCCTCAGCACTGGGTTAGAATAAAAGGAGAATTGCTTCACATAACAGAGACTGCAGGAATAAGGAATATTTTAAAAAGGAAAATTCAAAATATTCCCAGCAGAAGCCATGAAGGAGAGCAAAGACTGAGCATCACTCAGTAAGACTGACTCTTCCTTTATCTCAAACTCCAGTGCACTGAGAAGGAAGCAGCACATTTTCTTGTCATGCTCCACTATCAGAATTAGTACATTAAAAAATAAAAAATTGAGTGCTACATGTTAAAATACATCAACTCCTCCACTCTATCCAATGAGTGCCAAGCCTTCATGTAACATGAACAGCAAAGGTGCAAATAAACTGCTTATGTCTTACATATAGAAGGGACTGCCAGCAAAGCAACAAAACTGATGCAGTATCACTCCAGAATCTTACAAAGGGAGCGGTGTGTTTGCTTAGGAAGTACAGCATGCTGGAATTATGACAGCTGACATGAAATACTGTGATGCCACAGTGAGAAATGGACACATGTGCCCAAAGAAAGTATGAGTCACAAAAACAGATGTCAGAAAACGCAGCAGATTTAATCATTAGTGGTGTGTGACCCCAATGGGTCACACAAAGCAGAAGAAATAGCAACATAGAGTTGGTTGGGTTTGGGGTTTTTTTTGGTGATTGAATAGGCTCTTGGAAAGAGCTGCAGCATCTGGGGGCTCCAGCCATTTTTATTCAATTATTTTTTCTATGTCAACTTTCATGATCAAGACAAATATGCTCTGGTGTTATATAACAACCTCATTTACCTTATTAAAATGAAAACAAAGAGAAGAACGTTGTTTTCTCACTGCACCACCTGCTTCCAAGTGCTATGTCCTGATTTGGAAGTTCTGACTAAAGCTACTGATTGCTCAGATTTGCACTTGTGCCTTAAGCTGTCTGTACCTTTCACCTCAGGCAAGCTGATCCAAAGCTCCTCAGGGCTGGGGGCTGTTCCTCCTCACTCTAAGCTGCTCTCTCCCTCTCAGTTTCAACACTCTCACTGGCAAAAGATGAGAGAAACAGCAGGAGTGGGAAACAGAATCAGTCTCCACCAGACTGTCTCACCTTTCTGGAAGACATAAACCAGGACAGATACAGGGTGAGCACTCAGGATTTTCAGGCATTTGGAACCAACAACTGGGCTTACTGTTCACTCACCACAGCCAAGTCGAATACTCTGAGGGACATGTGGAGCTCTGCCCCTGGAAAAGGAAGTATACAATTCACTGCTCTGGATAGGTAGAGGAACACTGCACCTGCTTTGCTCACCTCTCTCCATAACAGTAAAACTTCCTATGTTAAGGCAAGCCCAAAAGAACTTGTTATAGAGCAGAGTTTATAAAAGAAGCAATGCTTCCCTAAGTTCTTTAGAAAATACTGCTCTATGGAGGATTGACCATTGGGATGATTATCTAAAAATAAAACAACCCCACAGCCTTAAAATACCTTAGTTTTTCAAAGGAACATAAACAAAGGCAATATTAAAAATAGCTTGGCTGCCCTTAACACGGGCTGAATGTAAAGCTATATACAAGCACTTAGCAGACGTGTACTTTGCTGTGAAAATAAAGGGAGAATAAGGCAAGCCATCAACATTATGTTTTATTAACATGCTTCAAGAAACTAGAAAAAGCAGACTCAGGGGAGAAGAGGGATTAAATACTTTGAAAAAAAAAATCAGTGTGTATACTTCAAAGCTACAATGGCTGCTTAAGCAATTACTGTGCTGCTGCTTCTGCCACTGCACTGGAAAGGCAGCAAGAACTAGAGGCCTTTAATTCCCACAGGCAGCAATATCTCTAGAAATAAGTGACAGGCTACCTCTAACCCTGTGTGTCTCTCTTTTGTAGGACCCTAATAAAAGTGCAATGCCTTGTAGCCACCTGTGAGGACACAGGGATCTGCAATATGCAATAAAACACATGTCTGCATATCCCTCACCACACACCACTACCACCAGTATGGGTCCAAAGTGGGAACAGACCAAGCCACAGATGAATCACAGGTTAAGATCAAACACACTCAAAAGATGGAGCAGACAGGCTCTGGGCATAGCTTAGCAGAATGTGCTATCTCCTCTGACACAGGAAAGTCACATCCATAACTTGGTTAACCATGAGAAATCATCCCAAATTCCTCCCTGAGAGTAATTTCTTACATGCAATACTTTCTACTATGTTTACCTGGACAAAGATTTTCTCATAGTCAAATCTTCTAGAATATTCAAGTCACACCTTGATTCTGGAGGCTTACCTAGAGGCTATCCCAACAAAATATCAGAATTAAATCCTCCAAGGAAAAAAATAAGAACAATTAAAAAGTTAATTATAACACCTTGCCCTCCACAGATAAAGCACACTCTTATGAGTTTACCAGCTGCAAAAATAGCGAACTGTATTTTAAAAAGAGACTTGAAAAGCTAGAAAAGCAAAATATGTCATTGCTGTTCAGGGACAGGGTAAGGCAGTGTGCACACACACAGAGATGTAGAGACTGAAACAAAAACTAGAAATTGCTCAAATGCAGCACAGGAGCTTACATACACATCCTATTATTATGCAGCATACAATCATTCTGCCCTGTGTTGACATTCACAGGAGGGGATGAAATTCAGTCCTCCAGCAGAGCACACAAGAGGAAACTATCCTGGATAGGAGAGCAGGATGCATTTCCAGCAGTGAGATGAGAGGTTCACCACAGTCCCTGTGCTTATCCAACTTTACCCTTTTTTGCAGGAAGCAACGTGGGGGAAGGAGAGAAGCACTTTGGTAAGTTAAGAGGATGAAAAGTCTATTTATATTTTTTAATTAACCATCTTCTACAGTGTTATTAAGCAGCAATCAAAGATGCAGACGCTACTGATTTGATTGGCAAGAAGTACACTGTGCTGAATATTAAGGAACTCTGCCCCTATAAATAGGTCTAATCACCATCTGAAGGCTGGAAGTGATGAAAGAAAGCATTAATAAGACCCTAATTAGGCCCTGTAGCAGGCTGTACTCCACCAGGATGCTCATGCTACTAGATGTCTCTTATAGTAGCATCCTCAAACCCCATTGTAGATGTTACTGCTTTGGTCTCAAGACCTCTAGTAGCTATTTTAGACAAGAGTGGGGTTTCTCCATCTTTCGAGTGCTTGGCATCAGCTGGGATTTTGCCTCCCGGTGCTATTTCTGGAACACAACAACTTTCTATTCCAGCTGTCCCACCCTGCCCACTATCAAGGAATGAATTGAACTGAGGAGCTGAGGAGTTCCCCAGACACAGAGACTGGTAACAGGATACTTAGTCAACCTCAATCTTTCAGCCTATCCTTACAGGATAGCATTACCTCAGAACACCAGGAACTAAAAGTTCGTGTAGAAAATGAATAATACTGGGCATCCCCTGCTCCCACAGCTGCTCATTGATATGGGACTACCTGAACAGCCAAAACCTTTTCAAAAGGAGTCAGCCTCACATCACACCATGGCCCTGCAGAAGCAGCAGAGCACTGAGGAGTCTGACAGTCAGCAGGATTACCTGAAGAAAAGCATTGACCTGTCAAAAATCTCCTTCAGAAAGTGTTTAAGGCACCAGCATTTAAGCATCTCCTTCTCAAGAAGCCAGAGCCAGTTAAAAACACCTTTGGCTCAGACACTTTGCTTTGAAAGAAATAGTAGCTGTGGCAGCTTCTATAGGTGGAATCTGGAGACTCCCCCTTACCCTAAAAACTACTCAGAGCCACTTTGTTGGTCGGTCACATACTGCTGTATTCCACTTTGGCTTAAGAAAAAGCATCAGAATTTGAGATCTCAGAGCCCAGCTTTACAATAGCATGTGGCAACTCCTTGGAAAAATACCTGACATTTAAAGATGGATCAGTTACAACAAATTATACTGACTGTCCAGAAGAGATAATGCTATTGCATTAATTTTTTTTAAAGAGAATCTGAAAAGTAGAGACTTAAAAGAATTCAGAGGTCCAGAGCTCTGTTTTGTTAAGCACAGGCAGCCTCCCTTTACTGCATCACCTTGCTGAGAAAGCCCTGTCCTCTAAGCACAGGCTGAAATTGATTTCCTCCAGTTGGATACATAAAGCTCGTTTTGACTGACAGATGTTGATACCTAAAGTTAATCAGATAATCCCCTCTGTGAGTGCCACCTTTGGCTCTCATCAGTAATGGAGACAATCAGATGCTGTAAAGAACAACTGATCTGATTCCAGGGCTGCATATGCAACTGACCACAAACATTCTGCTAATTGCCTTCCTTCCCTTCCTACAAAGGAAGCCTAAACAAATAGCTTAGCCACACCTATTATACAGACATCATAACTAAAGCTGAGAATCCCATCCCAAACGTCCAGGCACAGCACTTTTCTCTTTGATTTCCTAAATGAGGGCACTTTGGTTTTGTATGCCTGAAGTACACAGAAGCCACTGGCTATGCAAAGTCCTCTAGAGCCATTTCTCTACAATAAGTTCTCTTAAACAACGGAATTCCAAAACCAGGCTAACCCAGAATGCTGCAGAATGTCTGGAGCTTCTCATTCTCGCTCAGACCACAGCAATACTTACTTCTAGAAATACACCATATTAAAAAAAAAAGAAAAAAAGACAACAATCCAGCTAGCTTTTCCCTCTAATCTTCTGATGCAGAATCAGCTCCACCCTCCTGCAGAGGGACCTTAGCTGCAGATCTAACCACTGCCTCATCTCACTGCCTCAAATTATAACTTGCAATATCCTGGTTTTCACCTCCACATTCAGTACCCTCTGCTCCAAAGTTCTGGAGTTTTACAGCCCCCAGGCTCCACATGCAGTATTACAATGAAGCCTTAGCCATTCAGTTAAGGAAACAACCAAATCAAACCAGCGACCAGATCAGCTCCTGCCTGCTTTATACATTCAAAAGCAAAGGCAATGCTTACATTTGCAGAAGATGACAGGAGGGGAACTCACTAAATAAGGAATGTCATCAAGTCTGTTCACATTTGCTAGAAGGAATATCCCTACAGACTGGCCTGATTGACAGGAGCTGATGCAAAGCTGGGTCAAATAAATGAAACCTGAATGGACTATCTTCTGGGAAAGGTTATCTTGTGAAGCAAGAGCTGATTAGCTACAGAAATTATTTTTCGGAGTAATAAAAATGATTCCCTTTGATCTCTTACACCACAGCCAGGGGAAGCATAAC